GGTGACTGTATGTTTTGAATTCTACATTGGTACCTTTTTTGAAGCAGCAAGAAATGACATGTATTGGGTCCTCGCCAAGTGCCTGGCATTGTGCTGAGTAACTTATGATATTATTTTATGCAACCCCCCACAACAACCCTTTGAAGGACATGTTATTATCCTCGCTTTGAAGTGAAGACATGTCACAGGCTGGGCTCCCTGGGAAGCTGACTCTGGGTTTAGTATGCAGGGTGTTTACTAAGAAGTGCTCTTAGGAACAACACCCAGGAGAAGGAAGTGGGCATAGGCAGGGGAGTAGTTGAGCTGCCAAGTAAGCCCAACAACAGTTTCAAGAGACCCCATGGGGAGATGGAAGGGCATTTCAGAGTTCTCGTAAATTGGGCTGAGACGGGCATGACTTTATATAACTGCACCAGTTCATCCTCAGCTATGGGCCACCTTGGAAAGTGGCATGACCTGGAACCAGGCAGTGGAAGCCTCTGCCCATAGCACTCCTAGCAGCTAAGACGACAAGCTTCTCCCTGAACAGGGATCTTTCTGGGAGGTGCAGCTCTATTTCCACCCCAGGAAAGCTGGTAACTGTAGGAAGGCTGAACAGTGGCTCCAGGCAAACTAGGAGGTGACTGGTACTCAGGAAGAATGGTCGGGCTGTGAAGCCTGTGTTGGTAACCAGTGCTCTATGCTTCTCTGTTCCCGACACTTACAGACACCAGCTCCTACTACAGCTCACCCCACGCTGTTTTATGCCCCTACTTGATTGTAAACTCAGAGATTATGTCCGAATCATCATCACTATATGCAAAAATGTTTACTGAATGACATTCAATTAAAGATTTCATTGTGAAATGTCGATAGCAAAAGCCAATTTGATGAGAAAAACGTAACCAATTTCACACCAAATTTTGTCTCTCAATGAGTAGGAAAAAAAACAAAAAAACTGTGGATAAGCTGACTCTAAGTTGTACCTCTCATAGCGTTTGTTAGAGTACACAGCAATGGGGTCCCTTAGGGCACAAGTGGTCAAGTGTAATTGCTGATCTCAAAGAGAGGGTTGGATGCTGGGAACCAGGGCTGGGTCAGCTGCCTGTTGGGATTGGGTAGCTAGAGAGCCTTGGGACTTGGAAGGTATTAACCTCACCACCACCGTTGCTAAAACCTTCCCCTGAGAAATGTTGAGCCATCCTGTGTATTCTGTATTTAGCTGATTATGCTATGCAGCAGCCTAGAAACACTGATGAGCAGTAGTTTCTAGCCTACTGGACAGCTGTTAGAAAGGTGGAGGGCCGGGGCATCCGATCTCTAGACAGTAAGTGTGGAGATAAATCACCTTGGAAGGCTGGTCATTGCTCAGCTAATGCCTTGTTGATAAATCACCTGGAGGAGTTAGACAGCTGCCTGGCAGACCTGTGGGGACATGGGTCCCTAGAAGGCTGCAGACAAAAAGAGGTGGGAAGTGGGTTCATTGAAGGATGTAAGCCATCTCTCTTGGACAATGAATGAGAGAAACCAGTTGTCACACCAGGGACAGATGGCTCCAAGGGCAGAGAGGCCTATTCCAGGTAGGCCTGTAGTCTAGCAGCTGTGCCTCCTGGTGGCCAAAGTGTTTACTACCAATAATGTCACAGATACCATGGAAACAGAGGTGCGCAAAGGCATATGCGAATCCCTCCTTTCCACACCACTGTTTCATCCACACCTGTTTCTCCTTGGAATAAGGTAATGGATGGCAGTAAAGTGGAGAGGGTAGGAAACCACAAAATCAAGATTTACACCTTGCCGTCCTGACTCCAGAACCTGACTCTTAACCGTACAACCTTGAATAAGTTACCTAATATCTCTACGTTCAGTTTCTTCACCTGCAAAATGAGAGGGAATACACAGTTCCAACACCACGAGCTTACTTTGGGTATTAAATGTATTAAATATTGCAAAGCACTGAAAGGAGCGCCTAGAATATTGTAAGAGCTAAATAAATATCAACAAAGGCAATGGCATGAAGATGGCAAAGACCAGCTCTTTGCCAAGAGGCTGGATGAGAGATGTCTTTTCTGAGCAGAGGTTATCTGAACACCTTTATCCCACCATCTTTTTGTGTCATGTGGCATCATGTGTGGGGAGTAAGGAAGAATGTACAGAAAACTAAATTGATTTTCTTCTGGGGCTAAGAAGATGCTCCAGGAAAATGTAACTCATCTCTGATTTTCTGCGTGTGTGCAATAAGCTCAAGCAGCCCCGTGAGTGGCTCACTCATGAAAGTGGAATTGAGATGGTATTGGAAGTGGACTTTGGCCACCTGCCTGAGCCTTGAGCCAAAGCTTAAGTCTGCTTACAACACTGACAAAAAGCCTTGAAAGAATTAACACCAGCTTCAGTAGGAGGTAGTTCTGCTTTCTTTAACAGGAGGTGGCAACTGTGCCCCAGTTAAAGCCAGTACAAACCGGTTGCTGCCAAGATGAAGCCCAAAGTTGACCACTGATAGACCTTTTCCCTCATTTTAATGCTAAAAGTCATGCCCAAGAGTGGAGATTTAACATGCTAACTAAACATGTGATGCATGAAGAAGCATGATTACTGGAGGGGGGCAGATGCCAATAAAACCCCGCCTCTACATGCTATGATTTCAGTGCTGGTGCTAAACTTTCTCTCTTTCTACCCTTTAAAAGTTCTCCAGCTCTGTGTTCAGAGAGCCAGTCTGGTTGCTTCTTAACCAGCACTGTCTCCCCTTTTTTTCAAGCAAAAGCCTCAAATTAAGCCTTGTCTGCCTAAATCTTTGCAGTCTCATGCCAATTTCTATTGACTCGGGGACCAAGAACCTGAAGTTTGGTATCAGAATGCGCAGGGGGGATGTGCCTAAAAGGTGGTGTCTTCTCCAGTTGTCAGTGACGTTTGCTTAGAGAGGGATAAACCACACCACCTTATTCTCTCAGAAACCTTGGGAGGCTGTGTTGCAAAGGTATAAACCCAGACATTGGACTCAGGCCCCTCACTTCACTTTTGTAGTTGGGAGAGTTTAGGCAAGTTACTTAACCTCTCTCAACCTCGGTTGCCTCACCTACAAAATGAGGGTAATAATTCCTTTGTGGGGCTGTTATAGGAGAGAAGTGTCTTTAAAAGAACTGGGAGATAGAAATATGACTAACCGTCACGTACTGAAAGCTCACTGTAATGTCAGGCTCACAGTTGTGGAGCTGGAACCTAAGACCACTCTTACTAACTGTGCTCACCCTTGGGGACACTTACACACTGTGTCCCTCCATTGTCACGCACAGAAGCTGATCTTACACTCACTAATGGCCTGATCGTGAACTCTGCTATACATACAACTATCACAAGCATCCACAACCTTCTTCTCTAAGCGGAACAACCCTCACAGTGGGCAAGGGCCCCATGTTTGTCCATGGTTTCCAACAATCCGTCTGCTGGTGTGGGGCTCCGCTGTGCAGATCTCAGACTGACTACCTAGACTTCCCACGGGTTCCAGCTCTTTCCTGTCATTTCTTTGCACAAAGGTCCCCTCTCCATGAAATTCTTCAAGGACAGAGGGGAAATGTACCCGGGCAAGAGAAGGAACTGTTTACACTCACTTCCACCAGGGATTTTTTGATGACTCGGCTGATGTCCCTCCTCCACTCAGGGATATCTGGGTTGTAGTCATCCAGGTTTGGAGAAAAGGACAAGCGAAGAGACCGGAATTCCTCTGGAAATACAACAGTGGGTGGATTACTGTAAGTCAGAGTTTGGGTCAAAAGAGTGTATTAGAGTTTATATTTTATACAAAGCCCTAATGGAGGATGCTTTCTCTTCATGTTCACCACACAGACCCTTCTAGAAGGCAAATTCACTATCCTGCCTTGTTATCTCACAAGCTTCTTATTTTCTAAACCAAAGCCCTGGACTCTGTGGCATGCCTAGTTCTGTAGCCTTTTCCGATTAGTCTAGATTCTGTACTCCTGGACAGTAAATAAAGCTGGAGGGCCCTTCAGGCATGGCAGGTTGATGGCCCGGGGCCTTTGCACACACTAGAATGTGTGCACATTGCCTAAAATGCCCCATTCTACCCACTATCTATGCACATAATATTCAAGCTCTAGTTTAAGCATTCCCTCACTGACTACCTTCCCCCATGATACTTTAGCTTTCTTTTTTATGGCACTGTATTGTGCACATACTTTTATTATTATTCTAGGATTGTAGTATTACCATGATTATAATTACATATTTATAATTATTATTGTAGTCATTCTGTTGCTATTTTTTATTCGCACGGAAGCTTCATTTAATGGAATTTTAAGCTCCTGAATTCAAGGATTTTGTTAGTTGTCTCTGTAGCCTCTGAGTTAGTCCAGGTTCTGCAGGAAGTAGGACGGTGATTACATAAGTAAGGGCTGTGTGAGTGGAGCTGTCTGTGACAGCAAATGGGGAGGAAGCCAGAGGAGGCGTGAACGACCATGGATACAGGGCAGTGGAAGAGAGGGAAGGAAGGCTGGGTGACTGCTCTGCAAGACCGTCCAGGAGTCTCTGAGCGGATGTCTGCTGGCAGAGGAGTCCCCTGCGTCCCAGGGGTGGGTCAGCCGTAGTACCCCGCCTCAGTCCGTCATTAGCCGTGGTCAGTCCTGGGAAGGTGTGGCCTTGGCCATAGCAGGGTGATAGGTGTCAGAGCCTGATGCTGGGGGTCTCGGTCAATCACACTCCCCGTAGCTGCAGGTCCGTGTGGCGCATTCTTATGGCCTCCAGACCCCCTAACCCAGCAGCGTTTGGCATGTGGTATACTTCGGACAAACTGCTCCCCTAAAACCTGCTCGCTTGTGGCTCTGCATTGCACTTAGAATAAAATGCAGATTCTCTTTTTTATTTCAGAATATTATGGGAGTACAAACATTTTGGTTATATATCATACCTTTGCCTCGCCCAAGCCAGGACTACAAGCGTGCCCTTCCCCCATACAGTGCGCTCTACATCCATTAGTTGTGAGTTTAACCTCCCACCCCTCTACCTGACCAGCACCAGGTGAATATTATTATCTTGTGAGCACCTTAGTGTTGATCAGTTAGTACCAATTTGATGGTGAGTACATGTGGTGCTTGTTTTTTCATTCTTATGATACCTCACTTTGAAGGATGGGCTCAAGCTCTATCCAGGATAGCATAAGAGATGCTAGCTAGTTCACCATTGTTTTTTTTTGGCTGAGTAGTACTCCATGGTGTACATATACCACATTTTATTAATCCACTCATGTGTTGATGGGCACTTGGGTTGTTTCCGCATCTTTGCAATTGTGAATTGTGCTGCCGTAAACGTTTGAGTGCAGATGTCTTTCTTAGAGAATGTCTTTTTTTCCTTACCTCAGCCTTCCTGGCCCCACATCACCTGGGGGGCACCTGCTCTCCTCATTCCTGCCCTACTGGGCTTCCCTGTGCTCTCTGCACTCCCATGTTTCTCAGTCATCCTAGGCTCCATCCCATTATTCAGTCTCTTCTCACAGAGGCCTTTCCAAGCCCCCAACCTCACGTAGCTTCCCTTCCACCGCCCGTCACACCCTTTACCACTGGACACTATTTGTCTCCCCGTACTTACTGCTGTTTAAATTATCTTGTCTTAGTTATATGTCTTCCAAACTGGACTATAAGCTCAATGAGGACAAGGGCTCTGTGTTCCTGGCCCCTGGGGACAGTGCCTGGCACATGGTAGGTTTTCAAGTACTACCTATGAGTTATTTAATTAAGAAATGTTTATTGAAAAAGTAAATGCATACATTATAGACAGCCTCCACTGTAATGTGAGCATTTATTTATTCAACAAACATTTCTCGGTTTAAGCGTGTCCTGTGTTTCAGTAGGAGCCAAGTGACATCCTTGGCATTTATACATTCAGGAAGCAGAAAAGCCCACTTGTGCACCTCCTAACAGTGCTAAGGAGTTATCAAACACATGCTTCAGAGACTCTTACATTCTTGGGTGTGTATTCATAGCAGTTACCCTGTTCTAAAGATGTATTTTTCAAAGCTTGACTTTTTTATGAATCACTGGTCACCTTTGAATTTTACCGATTTGGTTCCGATGGAGAATAATGAAATGCATATTAATCAGTAGTGTGGTAAATGGCCCCACCAAAGAATCGCCCACTGAGTTCTCACTTTTCTCTCTGAAGATATAAGTCTGTGTAATTCTCACTTTCTCCGCACCTCCCGCCCAACTGTAGAGACTCCTTTTACAAGGGAAGATGTTTACCTTAGTAAAAGGACACAAATGAGAAAATGATGCAGCTTCCTCTGTAATTACTTAGCATACTAAGCATCATGACACGGAGGGAGAATGGCAGAGAAATGTTATCCTTAAGTTTATTCAAGAAACAGGAGATGCATGTGGAGGGACATATATATATATATATGTATATATATTCACACACACACGCGCGCGCACACACACACATATTTGCAGCTGTTGAGAGAGTTGAATTCTACACATTTACATTGTTTTATTCAAAAGCAAGCCCATGCCTTCGAGCAAATTAAGGAAAACAATGCAGACTAGACTTTCTTTCTTCCAGGCTATTGTGTGGCTTTGGGTAGACAAAGCCTTCCGTGTCAATTTCCCAAAGGCTTCCTTCAGTCTGATCATGACAAGCTTTCAAGTTCCCCTCAGTTTGGCTACACTTTAGACAGCTTTCTTCCTCACTATAGGCCCCTGGCCTCTCTTTTCTTAGAGCATTTACTCTAGAAAACTTGCAGCTGTAAATTCCTTCCCTATGCCTTTTAGACGTAAATCTTCTACAACTCAGGAATGTCTTTCTCTAGGACCTGGGGGCTATTCCTTCTAAATGTGATCATCAAGAGAGGTAACACCACTCCCTATCTGCCAGTCTCTGTGGGAGAGTAGGAGACTAACTTCCCTAAGCAGCAATTAGCTAATACAGATGGTCTAATCACCTTGATAACCCCAAGGGCTCTCCAATGTCCTTCAGTGCTTTTCCAGTAGCTAACTCCAGCCTTTAGAAATCTTCCTGCCTTCTGTTACAGTTGAGTTCAATCTTGCCTGTTTAACTCCGGTACAATTTTTCTTTAACATGTCATTAAAACGTTCTGAACACGTCTACGAAACTCTGGACAACTCCACTGGCTGAAGATGAACTAAGGATGGCTGACTGCACAGAAGTCTGGCTAGAGGAGGGGGAACCACTTCCACTGCCCAAGCTTTTAATGCAGCGACACTTACGAAGGGTGACCCACCCTTCGATGATGCCTTTAAAGAAACTGTAGAAGGAGAAAGAAACATAGCAAGGGGGTGGGAGATGCTTAGAAATATCTACTCTGGATTCAGAATTCTTAGGCTCTGTTTGTTTATTATACTTACGCTTTCTCAGTTGTAACCCAGGGATAATTATAGAACATTTCTCATGAGTCTGTTCGGAGGATTCAATAAACCAGATCATATAATCGAGTGCTTAGAAGAGATGCCACAGGTTAGTAAGGGCTTCATCAATGTTTACTATCACCACCACCACTGCCGTGATTAGCAGCAGATCTGTCACCAAACAGCAGAATGACTTTAAGCTAATAATTTCCCATGTCCGGACTACAATTTCCTATCCATAAAATGATCAGACTGGACCAGATGAGCCCATAAACCTTCCAGATTTAAGGTTTTCTCTGTGATGCTAATGAAGAGATCGTCAAGATGCTCAACCAAGAGAACTTCTATTGGGCTAAGGGTCAGTGCCTGTTCGTGTGGCCTGTGACATCCAGGAAGGAGAGAGGGGGGAAAAGAGCATTGGGTGGAAATATTAATAAATGAGAGTCAGTAAAGTAGGGTAATTTCAGAGAACCAGTCCTGGGTCTAGATGGGCTGGGTCAGAAGCCAGCTGTACCACTCACTAGCTGAGGCAAGTTATTTACTCTCTGAACAAGTGGGGATGATAATTCCACCTACCTTATGCTAGAATTGTTATGAAGATTAAAGATATTCTCAGTACATGGAAAGGAGACAGAAAAGGAAGGAGAAACAGAAGTTCTCCCCACAATACACAGCCACTGTTTGGCCACCTGGCACCCCACTGAGGGGACCTTGGTAGGAAAATCACAGCCAGCCCTGGTTTACTTCCTCTTACTAGTTGGGCTGATCAAGCTTCCGCAGGAGGGAGAAAGAGAAGAAAAAATTATGAAAATCTAACACTAGCCACGAAAAAAAGAGTGTCCTTGAGGTCTTTTGACGTTCAGATGTGTTCAAATTTGCTTACAAATTATATTTTTGATTTTGAAGGTCAAGTTGGCAAGATGAGAAATCAAAACCAGAATCTGACTCCCCACAGGAAAATCTCATTTTAAATTAACTCATTAGAATCAGTTAACTCTGGAACTGGGGCAATTGATATTTGGACCACAAGCTAGTCTGTCTGTCTCTCTTTCTCTCCCTATCCTCTCTTCCTCCCCTCCTTGCACTCTCCCTGCACAGCATTTACTTTTCCTATTTACCTAATTTTAACTTATTGTTTTTCCAGTTTTAATTTTTCATGATGTGTATGTACCACTTCCGTATTAACAATAAACATTTACATTTTTTTACCATCACCGGTAACACTTAGTGCATATCCATTTATCTTTCTGTGCAGAAAAAATTATCAAAATGAGATCAAACTATAAAATGGTTTTTATCTCCTGTTTTTAATCAAGGACTCCACCTTTTCATTTCAGTACATTTTCATTCCATCTAATACTCTGACCATATTCAGTTTCCCCAATCGATCACAAAATTACTCTGTATGGCTGTTTGTTCAAACCAACATCCAGTCTACGACTATGCGTGACATTCAGGGGTTATGACCTTTCCATTATTTTAAATGTAGCAGAGTTTTTCTTACATATATAATACAGATTTTAGGAAGAGATCTTTTTAAAGTATTTAGACAATGGTAGATTTACTTTAATAATAATCCAGAATTTTAAAGTTGAGCTTTAAAAAAACACTGAACATTAGCCATTTTCTTTTATAACCAATTTTAGCTATTCAAATACTATCGAAATTCTACATGAAATGAGTCAGCTTTACGCATAATAAAATCCACCTTAATCTACCTAAAGTGAGTGAGCCAATGGACACTCTATGCTTAAGAAAACAAAACAAACCCTTTCAGAATCCCACAGCGTTGTTTTGCTGGTGAATCACAGTTCCCTAAAGGAGATCAGACTTCTCTCAACTCTTTCTCAAGGATCCCCCTCTATTCTGTAGGTGAAAGGCATAGCCGGGATGGCCTCGGGCACCAGGGCACCTGACAACCTCCTCTGTGAGGGCAGCAATGGATCAGCAGAGATGGGCACTCACCGTACACTGCGATGGTCTTCGTGTCCTGTAGGATGGCGTTCCCAGCTGAGACCTGCACCGTGATGGTATTCATTCCTTCCGAAGTAAACTTGAATGATATGCTTCCCTCCAGGGTGATCAAGGGCTAAAATAAACAAGGGCATAGAGTGAGGGGGAAGCTTAGTTACAGGTGAGACAGCTGCCAGCTCTGAGCCAACAATGAGCTGTCAAACCCAGCAGAGGCTCTTCCTGGTGCACCACCACGGTGGAACTGAGCCCATCTAGGCCTCCCTGTCACCTCAAGTCCAGGCCAGAAAGGAGGTGATTGCAGCCCTGACTCCAAAGAGCTCTGCACATTCCTCTGCACATTCTTTGTGAATGTGACACCTCTCTCCTGGCATCATCCTTATTCAGGCCTGGGGAGATCGACAGGCCTTACTTGCTGGTGGGATATCTGTCTCTCTTTACGCATAACCTACTCATAGCAAGCAGATCCCTAATCTAAGGAAAGATTCAAATTGAATGAGATCAGGGAGCTCATATGAAGCCAGATCTAAGCAGCAGTCACTGAAAATCTACAAGCTGCCAGGTGTTCATCCGTACGGTGTACTATTTCTGTAAAATTACAACGGAGCACAGGAATCCCATATACCAAAATTGTACACTAGTTTGACAGGAGTGGCCTTGTGTGCTAGCTTCCTATCAGCAGATTCCTAGAAGTAGCTGCTATGGAAACAAGTACTAATTAGATAGTGGTTTGTGGATTCAAAAATGGAAAAAAAAAAAAAAAGGAAAAAGGATTTGGAGCAGTGCCAGCAATACAATCGAACACCAGGGTCCTAAAGGAGAAAAATATTAGCCTACTGATCTCCCTCAACTCACTCCTCACAAACATTTCTTTCCTATCTCTTTTTAATTAATTTTTAAATCAAAATTCATTTAAGTCTCCGTATGGCAGAGGGAAGACTAAAGCTCAGCATAAGAAGTCTTTTCAATAAGATCTGCTGAGAATTTGGTTTTCTTTTAAAAGGAAAACAAAACAAAACAATAGGAGGCACAGAAGAAAGTTGCTTAATACTTTCACCTGCTACTACTAGCTTTCCGGAAGATAAAATAGATTTCTCCTCTTCCACTGTGGATAGTGGGCCCACTCTGGGCCAAATGTCCATGCGTAGTTTCACATGAAATGAAAAGGGGCTTCTGAGGCCTGGGGTGGTGACTCATGCCTGTAATCCCAGCAATGTGGGAGGTGGAGGCGGGAGGATTGCTTGAGGCCAAGAGTTTGAGACCAGCCTGAGCAACATAATGAGATCCTGTCTCTACAAAAAATGAAAGAAAAAAAAAAAAATTAGCCGGGTGTGGTGGCATGCACCTGTAGTTCCAGCTATTGGACAGGCTGAGGCAAGAGGATTGCTTGAGCCCAGGAGTTATGCAGTGAGCTATGATAGCACCACTGCACTCCAGCCTGGGTGACAGAGCAAGACCCTGTCTCTTAAAAAAGCAAACAAAAAAACTCCCCCACACCCAAAAAAGAAAAGATTAAAAAAGGGTTTCTTTTCAGCTTAGTTATGTTAGGAGTGGAGGTGATAGGCTCTTTCCCCTGTCAGGCTTATAGCAGGTCTAGGTTCAGGGAAGGTTTCCTTCCTGTGTCTGTGCAAAATTGTGTTTCCATCAAAAGCCAAATTTCAGCTCTGGAGTAGAAAAAATGTTTTTATTAAAATAAGATGCATTGTACTTTAGCAAGGGAGTCTAATAAAAAATTTTTAATAAATCAATAAGATGCATTATGTTTGAAAAGAGCAAAGTTACCAAATGGAAGCAACTCTGCTGGAAGAAGATCAACCTTTCCAGTCCAGAGCAGCTCAGCCCAGTGCCCTGTGGGGCCCTGGCCGCACTGCCGAACTTACATTTGGAAGCGTTTTAATTTCTGAGAATGGAATGAGTTCAAAACCAAAAAAGACCATGCAGCCTGGTGCAGAAGAAAGAAAAATTAATGGAGGCATCAGAGGGCCTTGAATTTGGCCTCGTAGGAAGCAGCTGGAAGCGAGCGAAGCAAGCCCCTCCAGCTCCGTTAGCCTCACTTTGCTCCTCTGCAAGATGAAGGACTTAGAGTAAGTCTGGTTTAAGGTCTTTGCTGATTTTCAATTGGCTGCTGACTTCCGTGCACAGGAAATATTTGGGGAAAACATAAAGGATAAGTCTTGCCTGAAGAAATAGAATTTCTGATTCAGGGTGAGTGGGCCATTTGGGCAGTGGGTTGTAATGATAATTTCATGCTTTCTCCTGTCCAGTATCCATCCGCCTCTGTTCCCTTTCGTAACGTCTTCCCTTTTGCTGTTGATGTGGTTCCAAGGAGGCTGACTTCATCACTTCCCTCTCCACCCCACAGCACCGTGATCAAGGCCTGGCCAATATTACTCGATTTTGGGACTTCTGTTAGAATTTTTGGAAAGCAGAGGTTAATTTCTCTTTTAAGCTAAGGCATTGGGTTACTGCAAAGACAAGTCCAGTTGGAAATAAATGCCAACATAGAGGAAAGGCAGAGATAAAATGTAGGTGGTGGAGAGGGGCAAGAGAGAGAAAGAACGTACTCATGAAATATTCAAGCACTGAGAGAGCTTATTGTCCCTGAAGCTAGGACCACCCCTACCCTCTTGAGTTCATAAGCCATGTCATTCCCTTTTTTGCTTCAGCCAGTTGAACTGAGCATCTGTCACTAGACCCCGTGTGGAAGGCAGACCCACCTCCGTGTTGTTTCCGTACCACCACACGTAAGTCAGGGTGCCCACTTGGCTGGGCCACAGCACTGCCGTCGCGTTGACTTCTTTGTTCTTTGTGGTGACAAAGGGAAGAGAGAGGTGCACGTGCTCCAGGGGACCTGAGGCACAAGAGAAAGAGGAGACATAGAGAGGGAAGAGCTTCCTCTGCTCAGCCTTCCCTGCTCTGAAGAGAATACACAATCACTCTTGAAGCCTCCAAACACTGCAGCCATGTTCCCAGAGGAAGTGCTCAGGTGCCTTCCCTACTTTGGAGAAAAGGGCATGTCATGAATAATTGTGTCTCTGCATTTTCCATTTACTGATCTTTCTACCCATTCTAAAACCTAAGTTATGTGTGTGTGAAAGTTAAACATTTACAAGTAATTTATGAAGTCCTTAAGTGAACAGGCATAATAGGAGATTTCACAGGAAGATGAAAAGTCTTTCTAAGAGGTAATATCCTGGGTGGTAAAGCAGGATCATGAAGACTCTGAGAGTCCATGTTGGGTGTGGGTGTGGGGGAAATCCCCAAACCACTCTACATGTAATTGTTCTTTATTTTGTGCTGGGTTTTCAAGATGTGCGTATGTGTAAATGTGTGCATTTGTGCATGTGTCTGCACGTGAGTGTATGTAAAGCTGCCTGGCTAGGTGAGCATGGAACACACTGTGCTTGGGTGGAATCAAGCTTGTCCAGGAGAGAGGTGTGCGTGTGTGGACAGAGAGCTGTGGTCCTCAGTTTCTTAGGTGATGCTCACCTAAAATATAGGATGATTCTGTTTATGGAGGCCCATAAAAACCAGAAACCTTAATCAGATGTATGAACCCCAGAAAGATAAGAATGTCCCCTTCATACAGAACCACTAGAACTTTGCTTACAACCCCCTAATCTTATCTTTGAGTCACTCTTCCCAGGCAACATGCAGCTTACCCTGCATTTTCCATCCCCACCTTGGTCCCATGAGGTGGAGAAGAGAGTGGTCCCTCAGGCCTTCCCACCAGGTTTTATTACTGCCTCTTCTGCTTGTCCTTTAGCTGTGTTTCCTGAGATACCTCTACATGCTCTTCTGCTAGGCAATATTAACCACACCTTAACCTTCAAATACAAAACACATGTGGAGGGCTCTAAAACCTCCTTCTGGGCTCCACACTCCCTCTGGAGGGCTCCAGATTTCTTTGGCCCCAGAAGCCAAATGTTTCCAAGGACCCCATTATTTTCCCTATCCATATTCTCTACAGCTTGGTGATCAACACTAATGTTCTTCCGGGGGCCCATTTCAGAAGCAGAAAGTCAATCTAGATTTCTTCTTTTTTGCCATTCACATCCATTTAGGAAACCATTGATTTGGGGTCATAAGTATCTCTAAGATATTCATCTACAGCCACTTCTCACCCTCCCCAGTCTGGTCCCCTGATTCAAACACTAAGCACCTTTCTCACCTCTCTTATAGATTTTCCTGACTGTCACCTTTCCCCCTCTAATCCATCCTCCAAATTGTTGCAAGAGTTTTTTTCTAGAAAGTCAACCTGATCATGTTACTCACACTTACTTGCTCAAAATTAAGATTCTCATTATCTAATTATAATAATAACGATAGCTAACACATATTGATCTAAAATTTGTGAGACTGAGAACAGAGGCTGTAAACTTCTTGAGGGCAAGAATCCTTCATATTGGTCTTGATACACAAAGACTGGCACAGTTCCTAAGACATAGTCATGGTATTCAAATATTCACTGCATAAATGAACAAATAATATAATTTTCCTGTCTCATGTGACTCTACTCTCTTTTTATAAAATAGTTTGCTGATTGGCATGCAGAATAAAATTGATTTTCTAGTTTATAAGGCATAGGTTGAAAAGGAGTTGATCATAAGTCAGAACTACTCAATGCAATAATAAAAGGGTCAATGCAATAATAAAAGTGTAACACTAACTGAGTGGTGATTATGGCTACATGCACTGCTAAGGACTTTTTTTTCTTGTTTAATCCTCACAACAATTTTATGAAGTAGGAACTAAGATTTTCCCCATTTAGAGACGAATAAACAAAGGTTCCCAAGGTTATCTAGCTAGGAAACATCAATTCTAGGGTGGGAATCAAAGCAGTCTGGTTTCAGAGCCCTTGCTCTGGCCAGATGACAAATGCTCCATAGAACATTTCCAGTCCCATTTTAACAGAATACCTATTAAAAGTCCTTAATTTCTGATTATGTAAATAAGTCCCAAGCATTGGGAAATGCACTTTATACCTGCTCTTATTTATTGCATGGTTCTTGCCATTCCCCCATCACATGGTTTGCTCCAGCAGGCCATGTCCTGCCCACCCTGGGGCCTTTTCTTATACATCTTTCTTAGGGCACCTGTCAGTCTTCGAGTCTCAGTTCCAGTATCCAGCATCCTCTCCTCTGTGAAGCTCTCCCCGACTCCCCTGAGCTGAGTTAAATCAGTCAATTAAAATACAAGGACCAGAGAAGCTGTGCTAAAAATTCTAGTTCCATTCTAAAGAGGTTCATTTTCGTTGCCTTGCTCACATATGAACATTTTTTTTTTTTAAGTCAGAACCTTGGAGTAGGAACAATGCCTATATGTCATTATCGCAATGACAAAAATTGAATCTTGTTAGAAAAATAAGGTCACGTAGTCATTCAATAGTTTTTGAGTGCTACTAGGTGTTGGGTGTTATTCTAGGTGCTGGGGACACTGGCACTGGGTAGAGCTTAGGTGTATTTGAGGAAGGAAGGCATTGAACACATAAAGCAGGGGTAGGTGATAGAAAGCTATTTCTGACAGGGTGGTCAAGGAAGGCCTCTCAGAAGAAACGACATCTGAGCAGCAACATGAATCAATTTGATTGCACCAAGTTTCTACTTGGAATGCTACAGGGTGGAGCAAGGGCAAAGACCCCGAGCAGGTGGGCCTGCAATGCCTGATGAATAGCAAGAAAGCCAAAACAGCTGCAGTGGAAGGAGATGGAGAGAAAGAGAAAAGACAAAGAGGTCTAAGCGGTATTAGGACACATAGCGTGTTGGTCTGTAGGCCCTGAGGAATGTACATGTGTACCTATATAAGTCCATATTTACATGCATATACATTATACATGCATACATGGATGGAATTTATCTCCCATATTCCTATAGCCTCTTGTATTCTTTTACTTTTCATGAGTTTAAAATACCTGGTTCCTGCTGCCCCAAAGCCTATTCTTCAAGCATTTCTGTTCTTCAGAGTGTGCAATCTGCCCTAATGAAGCTGCAGGAGTGAAATTCCTGCCCCTGGAAGCACCCAGCTGTCTGGCTGCATCAGCAGAGAGCTGAGCAAACAGGCAGCTATTGCTCCATCAGACAGGTACCTGTGATCCACAAAAGAGACAGCAGGTGGAGCTGCATCCCTCCATATGGCTCTCCTGGCAAGGCAGTTGAGAGAACTGGGGAATTACTGGTGTGAGTTGGGCTTCCCTTCTCTTTTTTCATTTAGCTCTCCTGTGCTGCAGGAACAGCTGACTTCTGTGAAAGCGAACATCTTGTGCGTGCGCGCGCGTGTGTGTGTGTGTGTGTGTGTGTGCGTGTGTGTACTGGCCCTCCTCTGGCCTGCCTCCAGCATTTCTGTTCTGGAGACCTGTGTTCACCTAATTAAATACTGCACATTTTTCATATTGTTATTTGTCTGAAATGTTTTTTATAAGCTGCTGGAAAAAATAAAGGTGACTCAAACTCTAAAGTTGAGATCCTAAAACAGAGTTTCTCAAACTGCAGTGTAGATAAGGATCATTCTAATCTGTTCCAAGCAGGTTATGATGCTGCACTTCAAGAACCCTAACTCAGTAGGTGTGGGATAGGGCCCGGACACTAATTTTTCTCATTTAATTCTGGGGCAGGTGGCTCATTAAACCACATTTTACAAAATCCTAGTCTCATATTTGCTGGCCAATATAACAATCTTGTGAACAGTCAAAAAGCTACATGGGTTTTCAAGCTACATGGATCATTTTATCCTAAGATGGGGCCAGAAAGACATCTGCACATGGGTCCTATATAAGGGAGTAGTCAAGGAGAGGGGTTTAGGAAGGACTAGAACATTCACATTATCTCTTTTTTTCACCTTCTATTCTGAAAATTTGCAGTGTTCAGTGATTTTTTTCTGCAAGACTGGCTGTGGCAGGGCAGCTTTCGGAGCAGAAATCTGCATGCCCTCTAAATTCTCTGCCCCATCCAGCTGAAGGCAACACTGGCTGCATCACGTGTCTCATTAGTTTGCAAACTAGCAGAGCACAGTGAATACTATCCCAGAGGAATTTCCAACTGTCAGGCTGCAACAGATTACCCAGGCGCCCAGCAAGAGCTGCCAGCCCACTCCTGGAAGCATTAAGCAGGAACTCAGGTCCATTTGTTCCTGATGACCTTTGTAACCCCATATTACAGAAAAGCAAAACAAACAAAAAACAACTTCTGTTTTAGAATCAAATCACCTTTCTGCACTATAGAGTGGAGAGAATGTCTACGTAAATCAGGCAGTGGACTTTCTGGGAGAGCCCTGGGGGGAATGGGTGGAGTTGGTGGAGGGGCAGAGGGCAGGCTTGGCAAGCTGAGAGTTGCTGATAATTCTCCTCTATGTCAGAATCCACTAAGTCCAAATGCATATGCTATTTTTTGGTGATGAAAAAATCAAGTTTTACTAGTTGCCAGGGTACCCACATATTTTGCTTGATGGGACCTTCGGGAACAAGATGTGTATCTATTTAACAAAGGAGAAAATCTAGGATCAGAGATGGAGTGACCTGCTCAGGGGTTGGGGCCAGGATCTGGACCTAATCATAATGCTTGACTCAGTCCGGTACTTTTCAATTTTTTTTTTCCTACAAAGCCAGCTCCTGCCCCTGCCCCACCAGTCCTCCAGGTTTAAGATGCTTGGGAGTGTGACTCAAATGTGCTTTTGTTTTGGCTTCCTCTTAGTGTAAAATGGTGCCAAAGTCATGGTGCTTCTCCAATCTTGGTTATCTCCATCTGAAAGAAAAGGCTGAAGTTGTCTATTATGGTATAGATGTGAAGACAGCAAAATGAGTTTGTGTGTATAGTAAAGCATGATGGGTCCTTTAGGAGGAGGGCACTAAGCTAACATGTCAGAACCGGCCCAATCTGTCATGCCATGGGTTTTAGACGCATGTGAGTTAACAAACAGCTTCAAACCTGATCCTGCTTCAATATAATTAGTACAAAAGAGTTAATTCCTGTCCTCAATGCCAGACTGAGAAAGGGGTTCCATCATATGAGGGATTCCATTATATGCTATAACCCAAGATGTGTTTACAAAATTAAAATCAGAACACAAAACATTCCATTATAAATCATCTTCCACTAAAGTTAAGGTCAAATAGTTTGCCCAATCAACTAGGCTAACGAAATGAAAAAATTACAAATGAACGAAGAATCTTATTCCTTTTAGAAGTTGTGGTTTTAGCAGCCCTTAATCTTGAGCAGAGATAATCTGTGTTGCTTTCCTTCCCAAGACTAAGCGAATCAGGGAGGGGTCTTGGAAGAGAGCGGTGGACCCCTCAAGGGATCACGTGTAGGAATGAGGAAGAGTCTACATGGTGACTAGGAGGTCAAGCTACACAGGACTCAGTGGAAGACCCTGAGAAATTTAGACCAGAAGCTGGTACTGAATTTTAAATCAGTATTTACACGTGGTTGGAGTATGGTAGATATGTAATAAACATGTGAGATACAGACCACAATTACTATAATCCCTAAGGTGGGTACCTCTCTAGTAAACCCCCCTTATAGAATAAGCTGCCAGAAATGATAGGATGCCAGGCGGGCAGCCACTCTCACCAAACATACTGTCATTTGTGTTGCAAGTTATTTTTGCTACCAATAATTAATGTTTCTGATGTATTGTTAAAGATCTTAAGATTATTATTCCTATGATACCATCACTTTCATTCCTCTAAATACGGATATATAAGGAGGTGTTATGTCTTAGTAAGAGGCAACTTCTGAAAGTCTACATAGGATGGCTTATGTGATCGAATGGAAGGGAGCCTGCGTAACATGTCTTGAACCTATGTAGTTGTACAGCAAGTCCACGGCTTCTAACCTAAATGTTTACGTTTCTTCCAGATGATTTGCAAAGATGGCGGTGGGTAAAAGCTGGAGGGAGACTAAGTTCCTCCAACCTCAAGCCACCCTTGGCACTGACACTGACCTGAGTGACCAGAGCTGGAATCTCTGAGGCAGGGAGAACTGAGTCTGGGGCCTGGCTCTGCTAGGTGGTATGTCTGCCCCTTCCCATAAGTTACTGAAGCTCTCTGAGCCTCAACACTCTTTGTAAATAGGGTTTCTAATAATAGTGCCTACCTCACAGGATTGTTTTGAGAAGTGAGGAAAATCACATGAAGAGCTTATTTAGTGCAAAGCCTGGCACAAACTGTAAGAGCTTAATAAACCGCAGCCAGGAGAGGGGAGACTGAGTTGGCATACTGGGAGTTGTGTGTATCTTTGTTTAGAACAAAGAAGGAAGTGTGCGTGTCTTCGAAGAACCTTGTCAAAAGTGTGCAGAAGGTAAAGATCAAGAATTACTGACATATTAGGAATTCCCAGAAACCAAATAATCTCCTGGGTATCCCAAAATATCTTTTTTAAAAAAAATTATTTTAAACCACCCAGAGAGCATTGGACCAAAATAGTCTTGCCCTCTCCCTGGACCACAGCTGCTAAAAAAAAAAAACAAAAAATGTTCTAGTTGGTATTTTCTGTACTTCTATACTCAATTTTGTTGAGGAGAAGCATGGGATAATGCCTGGCCTTAATACTCTTGGCCTAGAACTTGAAATTTGAACAAGGTCATTCATATAAAGGAGCTACCTTCATTTTAAAGTAAACTACTTCTCTAGTAACGAATATAAGCCCTATGACTGATTAGGGATACCCTCACACCTACCAAGTTTATGACACACATTTTTACCAAACATAGCTTTAAAATTAAATTATTATCTCTTCCTATCTACTCACATCTTCAGACACCTTAAAGAGGGAAAAGCTTTAGCATTTCTTGGAACTGTTTCCTACTGTGGCTTCCTTTACATTATTTTTATACTCTTTTCCCCTACATTACCTTCTCTCTAACTCCAAATTATCCACAGATAGAAGCCCAGAAAATATTTTTTTAAGAGCAAAAGTCTAAAAGAATTATCAATATAGCAAAATATAACATGGGAAGACAGAAATAATCAGATGGGGGAGAAATTTCTTTCCTCGTGCTAATTCTCAATGTGTTAGACTGAGCTGTGCATGGGCTGTTTTCAATTATATCTGGCCAAAAAAATAACCACCACAAAAATTCATATATTTTAACCAAGTAGCTCTGCAAATGGCTCAGGCTCAGCCCCCAGCTACAGGTGTGGTGTCTCTGAGGCACCTGGAGGAGGAATAGTAAATACAGTGAGAACACTCCCGAATTGAAGATTACTCAAATTCCACTCGATCTTCTTCTTACTCTCTCCCCACTTTGTTCTCTTACTTTCCTATTTTCCATAACTAGTGCCTTTCTTCTTGATATAAACTTTGGGATTAGATTTTGAAAGAGCACAACATTAAGATATGTCATAAACCAACAACAGTAATAACATACAAGTTACATGTAAGTACAGGACGGCGCTGTCAGACCCCAGACTGTTGTCCACCTGCACGGTCACTCGGAAAATGCCCACGTTCTGATAGACGTGTTTGATCCCATCTTCCATGGAGCTCAGATTGACGTAAGACACTGCGATACCGTCGCCGAAGTCCACCTGGATGAGCGTCCGCTGAACGTCGCCCTGAAAAACAGCCCAACGTCAGAGGGAAGGGAGTCAATGTTTGGCTGCTCCTGCCTCAGGGGCTGGGGCCTGTCCTAGTCTCTGGCATAGACATAGCCGCAGTCCCGGCTTCCTCCTACAGCTGGGAGCAGCTGTCTGTTTTTGACAGAACCCCTGTGACATCCCACGGCAGGCAAGCGTTTGCTAAGATGGATACTCTCCAAAACTGAAGGGCACCAACTACCAAAAGTTTCAAGGTTTTGAAAATTAAGAGTGTTTGATTATTGGCTCCAGTATGATGCTCAATTCCTCCGAAGGCTTTGTGAGTAGTCTTCTCGTTCACATGGATAAAAGGCGTACACACACATCTTTAAAAATTTAGCCTACCTGACATGGTCGTGGACTACGTCCTGTGTCTTCAAGACCCCTGAATCTCCCTCTTTGTTTCTGCTTCCCTGGCTGTGTTTCAGGAAGGATGGAAAACATCTTGCCTGACACCTGATATGACATTGAACTCAGCCCGGTTATTATTTAAGATAATAATGGTTAATTCTTTTATACTTCAGTGTTTTGGATTATCATTTGACCTCATTCTTTTCCTCACAGAATGTAGTCTGGAGAGAAGAGTAGGCAACATTCGTCCACTTTAAAGCTGAAGAACTGAAGTCCAGAAAGATTTCATCTGGCTCGAGATTAACACAGCTAGTGAGTAGCAGTCCTGGGCTTCTAACCCACCTCACTGGACCTTCCAGTTCATTCATTATAGAAGGAACATAGCACTGTGGACACTGAAGGCTCCCGCAGCCTTGAATCCTCCTGTGTCATTACCAAGCTGGATGACTTCATGCTAGTCATTCATCCTCCTTCAGTCTCAGTTACCAAATCTACGAAATGGGCATAATAATAACTTACTGTTGTAACTGAAAAGAGTTCTTATAAAAAAATGCAAGTTATTAGATTATAGATTAATTAGTAATCTATAAAATGCTACACAAAAATAAGTGACTATAAAAATAGTGCAGCTATAAAAGACCTACAATATTTTTTCAAGGCTTGATTCGAATCATGCGATTCTAAATTTCCCATGGGTATGCAGGAAAAGATGTCTGTGTTATAAATTCCCACACCTATAAAAAAGAAATGGCCTTTGGAATGACAGTTTTGAATCTTAAGGATCAAAGTTGCTTAGACCCAACTGACAAAAACCAGCTTCCCTCCCACACAACCCATCCTTTAACACTTTTTTTTTTTTGTTATTGTTAGCCTTTACCTTTTTTAGGGGGAGAAAAAGACCAAAAAACCTTTGAACTAGAAATGTATTTTCAATTAAGTAAGGTTCATATGGTATCATATTTTTTGAAAAGGCCAAGTTTAAAATGCTGACATTTACAAGATTAATTCACAGGGAGAGGAAAAGCAGTTCAATTCCTACGCATCTACGTGACCTGTTCCTCTGCTCTATGCCCAGCCAAGCATTGTGTGTGGGGCACACAGCAGCTAACTCTCAGTGAGTACGTAGGCAAAAATTCTCCCCTAGGGTGGAGAAAGAAATTCCATTCAAAACTACAGAACAAATATCCACAAGGCTAGACATTGTGCACGTACTTGAATTCCCTCCTCTAATAAATATAAATGTCAACCATTCTTGCTGACTTGTCCTTCATTTGGACAGCCAAAGTGGACTGATCAATTTCTCATTCCGTTTCTGGTCAGTTTCCACTCCCAGGTTTTCTGGCTTTTCAACAGAGTTGCCTGGATGCCAACCCTAGGTATGAGCATGGGGAAAGAGCCTGCGTTTTGAAACAAGTATATGAGGGAAATGTCAGGGGAAGCTAGCCGGGGTTATCCACGAAAGAACACAAGCAACATAGTTTCCTCTAGAGATGGGAATTGAGATGGGGGAGGAGGGAGAGAGACAGGTTTAAGGGGCTTTGTAGGGACAGTGAGCACGAGGCAGGGGATGTCATCTGCAAGAGGACACAGGTGACGTGCTTACAGTGGTATTGGTCTTATGGCTCACCTAAGAACTCCTGAAGACAAAGGTATAGAATCCAGTTCATTCCACTTAAGTGGGCACAACTACTACAGGAGGGATATAATCTGATGCCTTCTGCCTTGACATTCTTATCTCTTAATGCAGAGTCCAAGCCTGGAGTCACACCTCCAGCCAATTCCACTTCAGCCTCCACCAAGAGAGCAGCCACTCACACGACTGGGCAGAGTACAACTTTGGCTGCCATTGCTTGAGTCTACCTTGCCTTGGTCTTTCTGCTCAGTATTCATCACTTCCCTTTTGTTGGCCTGTATTTAGACTTTTTGTCAGTTACACAAAACCCCTCCTAAATTCTGTCTGTCTGGATATCTACTGTCTGTCATGCTGGTCTTTCGGCCTGACAGCATTCTTAATTCTCCACTCATGATAATGTTCTGTATACACATAATAGGTGAAAGGGAGGGAGCAACTCAATGTTTGGATTAGTGCATCAGTAAGGCTTCTATTACAGAGTCAGTCTTTCAGGGTATTGTTTTATTTATATATATACACACACACACATATATATATATATATATATACACATATATATATATATATATCTCAGGTGTCAGCTTTATCACGCACCTGATGGCCTCTGAATGCCAAGGCATGGAATATTCCAATCAAATGTGAAGTTCCCCCAGATGTGAGGACAAGCCTCTGGCCTTGGACTCTGCATTAGGAGATAAGATGTCAAGGGGCTATGTCTGGCAGCAGAAGGCATCAGATTATATCCCTGCTGTTGCAGTTTTTCCCACTCAAGTGGAACGAACTGGGTTCCATGCCTTTGTCTTCAGGAGCTCTTAGGTGGGCCTTAAGACCAATACCACTGTAAGTGTGTCATCTTGGGGCTTTTCAGACTCTAGCTTCCTTGGGCTCTAACTGCCACCTGAAACAAGGATGCCAACCACGTTCAGAGAATAAGAAACAGAGTAAAGGGGTGACAGCCTAAGTCCTAGGTAACTATATGACTAGCCTTGCTTACCCTACTTCAACTGGCTCTCTGGTCATTCATTCATTCAGTCATTCAACCAACTGGCAGGTATTTATTGCACCTCTGTCTCCTATCAGTCACTAAATGGGAAAATGCTAGTAAGCAAATAACAAACCACCAAACAAAACAAATGTGGTCTGGGCTTTCATGAGCTTACAGACCACTAGTGAAGCACAAACGATTTAATTAAATAATCACACAAATTAAGAAAAATTATTACAGGGTGATATGGAGGAAAGGTACAGGGTGTTGTAAACTCATGCAATAGAGCTGGAGAGCTGACCCACTGGAAACTTCAAGGAAGGCTTCCAAGAGGAAGTGATGTCTGACCTGAGAAGACAATAAGTTAACCAAATGAAGGAGAAGAGTGAGCGAGGTGGAGATGAGGGCGTCCAGCTCCTGGAAAAAGAGGGAAACAGATGAGCAAAGGCCCTGCTGCAAAAGGGAGATGGTACAGTTGAAGAAATTAAAAGATGCCGGGG